TGTTAGTTCTAACTATGTTAGGTCTAATAACAGCATCTCCTCCTGTTCTGATTTGAATCATGGTATCAACACATAAAAGAGTACCTTACAACATGAAGAATTGATAATAACAGAGATAACTGCATACATAGTACGAACCAAATTAACAAACCAAGTAATAGAGATAATCTGCCATCCTGGTACTGCCAATACAAAAAACAAATCAACAAACCAATACAAACTTCCATCAAAGTAACAAATACAACAACATAATACCAACCAAATTAATACAGTCATCAGCCTGCAAATGTCTAAAATCCCAAACAAAGGAGAGAACTTTCTGATAGAATATAGCAGGTGAGGAAAAAATATTACAAAAGATATGAGCAGAATATGCTCAACATGAGACTTTTAAATAGAAAATTACAAGACACAACTTAAATAAACAAGAACACGAAGTAAAAGAGCAATTGAGAGATTTTTCAAGATGGAATTTATAAAAAATTTGAAAACCCACACAAGATGAGCTTGGCCTCCTGAGGGACCTGGCTCTCTTCATAAACTCCAACATCGCTCGACGGCAGCAACGAGCAGAAAACAGCAGCACCGTGCCGACTTCGCGCGCGTTTTTCGGCAACCTCCGGTCTCCGTTTTCACCACCGTCTTCGGCAATGTGTAGCCCTTTATATTTTCTATCACTCGACAACCTCCTCCCACCTCCGGCAAGCTCGGACAATGGCGAAAAGCTCCAAACAGCGAAGAACAAACCCGAATGGTGAAAAACTCCGAACATCGAAGAACAAACCCGAACAGAGAGGTAGAAAATAAGCCTAAGTAAAAGGAAGATACTGTGTGATAGACAATATAAAGGTCTACATATCGGCGAAGACGGTGGTGAAAACGGAGACCGGAGGTGGCCGAAAAACGCGCGCGAAGTCGGCACGACGCTGCTGTTTTCTGGTCGTTACTGCCATCGAGCGATGTTTCGGACGTTACCGAGAAAGATAGAGAATGAGTTAGAGCATGATACAAATTAGAGGTGATAGGCAACATGTAGAGCTACTCACCAAAAAAGAAATCGGCAGAAACAGAGATTAGGTGTGATCGAAAAATGCATCCGAAGTCGGCACAAAACTATAGTTTTCTGCAGCGAACAAAACTAACATGAAAGCGGGTAGAACTAACGTAGGAGATGACAGAACTAATATGAAAGCTGGTAGAACTAACATGGCAGCGAACAGACATAGGAGATAACAGAACTAACATGAAAGCGGGTAGAACTAACGTAGGAGATGACAGAACTAACATAAAAGCTGGTAGAACTAACAGTCCAGTCCTCAGAACTAATAGTCCAGCCTTTAGAACTAACATTCCAGCCCTTAGAACTAACATTCTAGCTCTTAGAACTAATAGTCCAGACTACCCAGCTCACAACCAGTTTTTAACAGCTTCCCGATGTTGTTGTTTTTGCCGAAGGCGAACCTGTTGTGGTTTATGAAGATGGCGTCGAGGTCCTTGTCGAAGATGGCTCGGAGGGCACCTTGCGCTCGAACTCGTTGTACTTGATGTCGAGAAATTTCAGGGAGGGGAGCTAGAGGACGACCCTAGGAAACTTGCCGGCGAACCGATTGTTGCTCAGGTCGAGCTCGAAGAGGAACCTCATCCTCTCGAAGGTCTGAGGCATCGTGCCGCAGAACCTGTTGGAGTTTATGACAGGTCCCTCAGGAGGCCGAGCTCCTCGGGGAGGTACCCGGCGATGTCGCCAGCGTCGCTGACCTCGATGGAGCGGTTCGATTGTAGGGTGGGGCCGTGGTGGGTGCATGGTTCATAGTTCTAATTTTCCTTGTCCCCTCTTTCAAATTCACAGCTTCTTAGATTCTTTTGTCAACTTTTAATCACATTGTCTTCAATTTTTAGCTAAATATCGATATGCCTGAAGATTCAATGTGAGCTTCTGAAAATTTCTGTTAATTTCTTATACAGAACTCTGTCAATCACCAAATCGCACAAGAAAAAGGCATTAAAGGAGAACCCAAACTGCTGTTCAAGAATCCAAGGAGATCCTATTTCAATTAAATGAAAAAGAAAAACTACAAAAACCCAATATCGATTCCCTTCATAAATTACAAAAAAATAGAGCACTATCTTGATTAAGACATTGATTTGGGTAAAGAGATTCCGTAACTCAGAAAGGGGAGAACGACGATATGCCTTGGACCAAAGCTCTGGGCCCGTCAGCTCGCGGGTCCCACCGGACCATGTTTCGTGCTTGTCGTTGAACCCGCGTTCACGAGCTGTTTCCAAGATGACTGATGCGGCATAAACATGTACCAAAAAGTTGCAAGTGCACAACCGTGTCAAGTTATAGTATTTAAGATATCGATCCACGAGAAAAAAGATATCGATCCCACGAGGAAGGGGTTTTGTAGGAGAAAATATAAAATCGGTTCTTATGTTGTGTGCGTGACAAATAGGAGTGATGAGTGAATGTGATTGTGAAAAGATTGAGAGAGTGAAAATGGTGTGTAAATAGGCGCAAAATATAAGTGAGAGTGGATGTAACAAAGAATGAATGTGATCAATAAGGCAAGAATGAATAAAATCGAGAAACAAATGAAAATCAAGAATGAAAAATAAAATTCAAGAATAAAAGAAAATAGGAAAAGGGGGCATTTTGGGGTTTTTATAAAATAAAAATACACTGGTAGGAACTCATATGAGCTGGAGAGTGGTGTTTGCTTACAAAGTTTGATTTGGGGTATTAAGCTTGTGGGCTTATTTTTGAGGTGGGGGGTGAACTTGCCTTCTTATTTTAGGGTTAGAAGCATTTTCCCTTAATATTTAGGGAAAAATGTTTTAAGGCCCCCAAAAAAAGATCCGGTTGTGGCCCAGCCCCCTCAATTAATTCCCTTAGCATTCAGCCCCATTAAATGGTGAAAAATGCGGCCCAGCCCTAAAACCTCATTCCTATACATGTATTGGGTGTATTTTGACCAACATACCTAAATTACCCTCTTCTCTCTCAAACGAAAACCGGCTAAATGGGTTCCGCCTCTGGCGGCGACCGCTCCCATCGCATTTAAGGCGAAGCGACGGAGGAAAGCGGGGGGAAAAAGCGCGCGCTCCCTTCATTACTGTGCTGCTTCATCAGACGGTACTATAAATCGGTTAGTTCTAGCTCTCACTCTCTCATTAATGAAATTAGGGTATGTTCTTCAACTGTCAACCACGCCTATGCGGCTGAAATCACCTCAATTACTCCTCACCTCCTCATAACTGTCCTCATAACTCTCAACCACCCAATGGCTGCTGATGACTTGATTTGCATGGTGTCTTTAGGCGAGAATGCCATATTTATGAAGCTAATGTCGACAACAAGCTTTTATGAACTGAAATATGGTGTGGCTGAAAGATTGAAAGTACCTGAAGAATCTTTTTCCCTGATATATAAATCTGAGAGGCACCCCAACCTGAGTTTTTCGGTTGAGAACGAAGCTGACCTGAAGTGCATGTTGGAGCACAATCGAAATATTGGTTGTACGGAGATTCATATGCAGGCTGCTGTTAATGTAGAGTGTTCCACGTCAGGGAAGAATCAGAAAGATATTAGGGAAATGTAAGTAATTAGTAAACTCTTTATAACATTGTGCTTAGTGTGATGTAAACACCGTTATCTTTTGGTCAACTTTCAATGACCCCTCTGGGCTTTAAATCCCCTGAATGTAACCGTATAACCGTCGTCATAAATTTGAACCCCCAACGGGTTCCAAAGAGTTGATGAGCATGGTGCCGTCAGGCGATAATGCTATATTCTGCATGATTTTAAGTGCACGTTGGAACGCAAGTAAATAACTAGAATTGTTCTGATTAAAATGCAAGATGTTGATGCCAAGTAGTGTCCTACTGAGGAAAAAACAGAAAGTTATTACTGATTTGTAAGTAATAGAATGAACTCTGCTTGAAACTGGTATATGTGGGATGTTGAAATTGTGATTTCAGGTTTCGATGCTACTTTGGGGAAAAATAATTGTCAACGCTGATGGGTACATTTTAACCCTTCAGCTTACAGGTTAATTATCTAAGATATATGTTAACTATTATATGAACATGTTAACTCTCATTGGAACATGTTATACTTTTCTTGAACATGTTAACTTTCGTATTTATGTGTTAACTATGTCCATTGTCTGTTAAATTCCACTGCTCTATGTTAAGTTTTAATCAAAATGGTTAAATTTACACCCAGTTAGTTAACTTTTGGTGTGCTGTGTTAACCATGCATATTGTTAACTTTCATCATAGTGCTGGTAACTTAAGTTATAAGAAGATTATTTGACATAGTGTGCAGGATATCTCACTGTTTGATTAAATTGTGCAACAGGGATGCCTCTTTGAATGCAGATTATAGTTGTCCTCCTCCAGGAAATGCATCCAATTCAGAGAGAATCCAAACTGATTTTCCGTCTGGTGAGGTTGTAATGAGGGCTGATGATATTCTCAATAACACTTCGAGCATTCCTCAATGGTGGCACACAGCATTAACTGAAAAGGGGCAACAATTTGAAACCGTAACTGAATTGAGACTAGCTTTGCAATACTATTCCATCGCCAAAAAATTTGAATATGAATTTGTAAAGAATGAACCCAAACGTATCCGCGTTTGTTGTCGATATAAGGAGACGTATGGATGCCCTTGGATGCTCTTTGCAGCTCCTGTTAAAAATGATAAAAGAATGGAAATCAAAAGGTTTGTGAATGAACACAGTTGCGGACAACATTCTAGCTTGTCAGGGCAATCACGGGCATCTCGCAAGTTCATAGCAGCCCAATTGCGACCGGTATTAAAGGCACGACCTGAAATCCGCCCAATTGATGTGCAAAAGGACTTCCTCACTCGTTTTGGATTGAGACTTGAATACAGTAAGATATGGTGGGCCAAAGAAAGAGCGCAGCAAGATATGTATGGTGATAGCTATGAGGCTTATGATCAATTAAGATGGTAAATATTACAGTTAATTTATAACTTGTGTGCAAATGTTTATCGTAGCCGCTTTAATGTTAATATGTTACCCTTATGTTCCAATGTATTATATTTATTTACATGTCCAGAAGCGGCATTGTTGTACAGGTATGAGCAAATGTTGAAGCAAACGAATCCAGGAAGCTACATTTGCATTGACCAGAATGAAGGAAGGTTCAGAAGACTGTTTATATGTTATGCTGCTTGCATCCAGGGTTTCTTAAATGGCTGTAGACCCCTTTTATTTTTGGATGGGACCTTTTTGAAAGACAGATATAAAGGCATGCTTCTGAGCGCCATAGCCTATGATGGAGACCAAGGGATATTTCCACTTGCGTATTGTATATGTGATCAAGAAAATATTGATAATTGGAGATGGTTCCTACAAGGTCTGTGGTCCATACTGTATGAAAGGTTGGACCCGTACAATCCCCCCCCCACCAATTGGTAATTATTTCTGATGCCGACAAGGGGATTCGAGAAGCCGTGAGAGAATATTTCCCTGAAGCAATTCACTCACGCTGCGTTCTGTATCTAGTTGAAAATTTTAGATCAAAGCTCAAGGATTTGGGAATGAAGGCAAAGGACACACAGGTTTTGGGGAATTTGCTCCAAACTGCTTGCTATAAATACACTATAGCGGAATGGAACGACTACATGAAGGAAATTTATGAGATGGCTCCAGCCACATATGAGATTGGAATTAATTACTCGCCAGAGCATTGGGCAAATGCCTTCTTCCCTGGCATTAGGTATGCATTCAATCATTATGACGTTTTGCGGTTGATGTTAACTGTTATGCATATATGTGAAGTATCCTTTTTATAGGTTAACCTTCGCTGATATATGTTAACTTTAACCAATATATGTTAACTATGATGTTTTTATGTTAGCCTTTAGCAGTATAGGTTAAGTTTTATGGTCACTTGTTAAGAAGATAACATATTATATGCCCATCATACTTTCTAAATGTTGACCTTTGCAGATATGGCCATGTAACCTCTAATGTCGCAGAATCCTTTAACAGCTGGATACGTGAAGCCCGTTTGTTACGTATCCTGCAAATGGTGGAGCATATCCGAAAACAACTTATGACTCGCATGAACAACAGACGGATAATGGCGTGTAAGTGGACAAGCTATCTTTGTCCTAAAGCTGAGAAGATTGTTAGGGAAAATATGGAAAAAGGGCACACTTTAGAGATTAGGCAATCTAGAGATGATATTTTCGAAGTGCAATCACATAGAACCACTCGCGTTGATTTGGAGAATAGAACATGCACTTGCCGAGCTTGGGACGTAACCCGTATTCCTTGTGTCCATGCTTGTGCAGTCATTATTTATATGAAAAGAGATGTATATCAATATTGTGATTGGTTCATGTCCGTAGAAGCGTTTAAGAAGAGCTACGACGAAATATTATATCCCATACCAGACTATGAGAAGCGGAGTGTGCCCAAGGATGAAATCCAGATTTTGCCACCACTTACCACTAAGAGGAGGGGAAGAAATAGAACAAGACGCATAAACAACAGAACCATATACAAACGGCCCGTCAAATGTTCTCGGTGCAAAGTTGAAGGTCACAATAGAGCAACCTGCAATGAGCCCATCCGTGACTAGTGTGTTTCAGCTTCTAACAACAATACTTTTGTATGAGACATATAGATGGTTTTAAAGTTGTACTTAACAACTTTAAAACCATCTATATGTCTCATACAAAAGTATTGTTGTTAGAAGCTGAAACACACTAGTCACGGATGGGCTCATTGCAGGTTGCTCTATTGTGACCTTCAACTTTGCACCGAGAACATTTGACGGGCCGTTTGTATATGGTTCTGTTGTTTATGCGTCTTGTTCTATTTCTTCCCCTCCTCTTAGTGGTAATTGGTGGCAAAATCTGGATTTCATCCTTGGGCACACTCTGCTTCTCATAGTCTGGTATGGGATATAATATTTCGTCGTAGCTCTTCTTAAACGCTTCTACGGACATGAACCAATCACAATATTGATATACGTCTCTTTTCATATAAATAATGACTGCACAAGCATGCACACAAGGAATACGGGTTACGTCCCAAGCTCGGCAAGTGCATGTCCTATTCTCCAAATCAACGCGAGTGGTTCTATGTGATTGCACTTCGAAAATATCATCTCTAGATTGCCTAATCTCTAAAGTATGCCCTTTTTCCATATTTTCCCTAACAATCTTCTCAACTTTAGAACAAAGATAGCTTGTCCACTTACACGCCATTATCCGTCTGTTGTTCATGCGAGTCATAAGTTGTTTTCGGATATGCTCCACCATTTGCAGGATACGTAACAAACGGGCTTCACGTATCCAGCTGTTAAAGGATTCTGCGACATTAGAGGTTACATGGCCATATCTGCAAAGGTCAACATTTAGAAAGTATGATGGGCATATAATATGTTATCTTCTTAACAAGTGACCATAAAACTTAACCTATACTGCTAAAGGCTAACATAAAAACATCATAGTTAACATATATTGGTTAAAGTTAACATATATCAGCGAAGGTTAACCTATAAAAAGGATACTTCACATATATGCATAACAGTTAACATCAACCGCAAAACGTCATAATGATTGAATGCATACCTAATGCCAGGGAAGAAGGCATTTGCCCAATGCTCTGGCGAGTAATTAATTGCAATCTCATATGCGGCTGGAGCCATCTCATAAATTTCCTTCATGTAGTCGTTCCATTCCGCTATAGTGTATTTATAGCAAGCAGTTTGGAGCAAATTCCCCAAAACCTGTGTGTCCTTTGCCTTCATTCCCAAATCCTTGAGCTTTGATCTAAAATTTTCAACTAGATGCAGAACACAGCGTGAGTGAATTGCTTCGGGGAAATATTCTCTCACGGCTTCTCGAATCTCCTTGTCAGCATCAGAAATAATTACCAATTGGTGGGGGGGATTGTACGGGTCCAACCTTTCATACAGTATGGACCACAAGTCTTGTAGAAACCATCTCCAATTATCAACATTTTCTTGATCACATATACAATACGCAAGTGGAAATATCCCTTGGTCTCCGTCATAGGCTATGGCGCTCAGAAGCATGCCTTTATATCCGTCTTTCAAAAAGGTCCCATCTAAAAATAAAAGGGGTCTACAGCCATTTAAGAAACCCTGGATGCAAGCAGCATAACATATAAACAGTCTTCTGAACCTTCCTTCATTCTGGTCAATGCAAATGTAGCTTCCTGGATTCGTTTGCTTCAACATTTGCTCATACCTGTACAACAATGCCGCTTCTGGACATGTAAATAAATATAATACATTGGAACATAAGGGTAACATATTAACATTAAAGCGGCTACGATAAACATTTGCACACAAGTTATAAATTAACTGTAATATTTACCATCTTAATTGATCATAAGCCTCATAGCTATCACCATACATATCTTGCTGCGCTCTTTCTTTGGCCCACCATATCTTACTATATTCAAGTCTCAATCCAAAACGAGTGAGGAAGTCCTTTTGCACATCAATTAGGCGGATTTCAGGTCGTGCCTTTAATACCGGTCGCAATTGGGCTGCTATGAACTTGCGAGATGCCCGTGATTGCCCTGACAAGCTAGAATGTTGTCCGCAACTGTGTTCATTCACAAACCTTTTGATTTCCATTCTTTTATCATTTTTAACAGGAGCTGCATAGAGCATCCAAGGGCATCCATACGTCTCCTTATATCGACAACAAACGCGGATACGTTTGGGTTCATTCTTTACAAATTCATATTCAAATTTTTTGGCGATGGAATAGTATTGCAAAGCTAGTCTCAATTCAGTTACGGTTTCAAATTGTTGCCCCTTTTCAGTTAATGCTGTGTGCCACCATTGAGGAATGCTCGAAGTGTTATTGAGAATATCATCAGCCCTCATTACAACCTCACCAGACGGAAAATCAGTTTGGATTCTCTCTGAATTGGATGCATTTCCTGGAGGAGGACAACTATAATCTGCATTCAAAGAGGCATCCCTGTTGCACAATTTAATCAAACAGTGAGATATCCTGCACACTATGTCAAATAATCTTCTTATAACTTAAGTTACCAGCACTATGATGAAAGTTAACAATATGCATGGTTAACACAGCACACCAAAAGTTAACTAACTGGGTGTAAATTTAACCATTTTGATTAAAACTTAACATAGAGCAGTGGAATTTAACAGACAATGGACATAGTTAACACATAAATACGAAAGTTAACATGTTCAAGAAAAGTATAACATGTTCCAATGAGAGTTAACATGTTCATATAATAGTTAACATATATCTTAGATAATTAACCTGTAAGCTGAAGGGTTAAAATGTACCCATCAACGTTGACAATTATTTTTCCCCAAAGTAGCATCGAAACCTGAAATCACAATTTCAACATCCCACATATACCAGTTTCAAGCAGAGTTCATTCTATTACTTACAAATCAGTAATAACTTTCTGTTTTTTCCTCAGTAGGACACTACTTGGCATCAACATCTTGCATTTTAATCAGAACAATTCTAGTTATTTACTTGCGTTCCAACGTGCACTTAAAATCATGCAGAATATAGCATTATCGCCTGACGGCACCATGCTCATCAACTCTTTGGAACCCGTTGGGGGTTCAAATTTATGACGACGGTTATACGGTTACATTCAGGGGATTTAAAGCCCAGAGGGGTCATTGAAAGTTGACCAAAAGATAACGGTGTTTACATCACACTAAGCACAATGTTATAAAGAGTTTACTAATTACTTACATTTCCCTAATATCTTTCTGATTCTTCCCTGACGTGGAACACTCTACATTAACAGCAGCCTGCATATGAATCTCCGTACAACCAATATTTCGATTGTGCTCCAACATGCACTTCAGGTCAGCTTCGTTCTCAACCGAAAAACTCAGGTTGGGGTGCCTCTCGGATTTATATATCAGGGAAAAAGATTCTTCAGGTACTTTCAATCTTTCATCCACACCATATTTCAGTTCATAAAAGCTTGTTGTCGACATTAGCTTCATAAATATGGCATTCTCGCCTAAAGACACCATGCAAATCAAGTCATCGGCGGCCATTGGGTGGTTGAGAGTTATGAGGACAGTTAGAGGACAGTTATGAGGAGGTGAGGAGTAATTGAGGTGATTTCAGCCGCATAGGCGTGGTTGACAGTTGAAGAACATACCCTAATTTCATTAATGAGAGAGTGAGAGATAGAACTAACCGATTTATAATAAAGGCTGATGAAGCAGCACAGTAATGGAGGGAGCGCGCGCTTTTTCCCCCGCTTTCCTCCGTCGCTTCGCCTTAAATGCGATGGGAGCGGTCGCCGCCAGAGGCGGAACCCATTTAGCCGGTTTTCGTTTGAGAGAGAAGAGGGTAATTTAGGTATGTTGGTCAAAACCCATTTAGCCGGTTTTCGTTTGAGAGAGAAGAGGGTAATTTAGGTATGTTGGTCAAAATACACTCAATACATGTATAGGAATGAGGTTTTAGGGTTGGGCCACATTTTTCACCATTTAATGGGGCGGAATGCTAAGGGAATTAATTGAGGGGGCTGGGCCACAACCGGATCTTTTTTTGGGGGCCTTAAAACATTTTTCCCAAAAAAGAAATTAAAAGTTTTAATAATAGATAGATATACATAGATTAAACTTCCGCGTTCCTTGCCCGATCCCAGTCGCTTCCCCGCGCGCCCAAGCGAAACCCTATCTCTTCTTCCCTCATTTGCCCCCTCTCTCTGCTCCGGACGAAGCGTGCGATGTACGCCGATCGCGTCGCGTCGGGGACGAAGAGATCGATCAGGGATCGCCTCGAGGGCAATCTCGCTCGAGATTTGGGCCGAAACCGAGCCCACAATCTCAAAAGGTGTGATTTTTTTCCCTCGTTGTTTTAGGCTTCTCTGGTTTGAATGATTAATTGGAACCTCCTTGAGATTATTTTTTATTAGTGGCCTTTGGGTTTGCTTATAATTGATGAAAGTCGTGGCTTTGTGATGTTAGAGATGCGTATGTGGTGAATTCTCTTAGTTTGACCTATTATTTGTTCCTCTTTTTTTTTCCCTGTAGAGGAAATTGGTTGCCAATGTTGTTCTTCATTACTGACACTTGAGAGTATCTCCAAGTTTAGAAAGCTTGTATTTTGGAGTCTGAAATTGCTATTTTTAAGAATTTCTTAGTGGAATTCAGTCGAGGATTGGCTGCCTTGTTGCTCTCTGCTTAGGCTACAAAGCACGGGATAAGTTTTCTTAGAAACCTTGTTTGGTTTTTTATTGATAATATTTGTTAGTTTCTCTACGGAAGCAAGGGATGGTATCATGTGGAATTAGAAGAATTTGCACGAGCATTGTTTGGGTTCCTTATTAATGGGAGACTAACCATTAGATTATACCAAGAAAAAAAGGTCGTTATCGCTTTATCTGCTTTTGTTTATCAAGCATACTTGCTCTTGAATTTTACTGTTTGTGTTATTACGTTACATGCATAATTCGTTCTTCCCCCTTATAAAATTGTAAGGACGTCTAAGCTAGCGCTGATATTTCCTATTTATCTTCTAGGTTGTGCTTGCGTGATTTATGGTCATTAGCATTTAGCACCGACGTCTTTAGCAGATGATCTGTATTGATGAACTATAAGTGTGTATGTTTGCTTCTTAGAATTAGAAGTGCGAATCATGTTTAGTTAGTTTCTCACCTGTATTCTGCTAAAGGGTGGGCTTTGTTATGTTGATGCTTTGGTAAGTTATGTGTCGCAGTGTGGCTATGTGTCGGCTGGCTTGTTGTATAGGATTGGAAGTTCCATCTTGTTATGACTAGCTTGACTTTACTGATCATCTACTTTTCTACTTAGTCTTGAGAATAATTGTCAATATTGTGCAAGTAATTCCTAGCTGTTTTTGCTACAAATTCTGTCATTTTTTTTTGTATTTTCAAATGGAAACGGGTTAGTTTTTGTTTAGTGTATAATCTGCTGGGATTTTCTCCAGAATGCTGACTGTGGTTTGGTGAAACTTGTTTCTTAACTGTTTCAAATACAGCACAGTATATATGATCTGGACTTGAGCTCTGATCCAAATGTTGATCCTTACATGACCAGAATCTATACTCATTTTGGTCTAGAGCGCTGAAAAAGTGTCTCGCGAGTTGTCCTCCTGTACATTCTGGCCTTACTGAATTTATTCTTGAGTGGGAAAAAGAATTATGTTCATACATATGGTTAAAGACAAGCTTGGACTTGAATAGTAATTGGATACATTGATTATGTTTGAAGTCTAGGAGGAAAAATATGTTCAAAATTGAAAAGCAATGTATGCCAGTAAAAAATCTTTGTGTTGTGTAGAGAAATAGGAAAGACAAAGATATTATTCCATATAACTCTTATCTCTCTTAAATAGAGATTCGAAGGATGTTACCAAATAGGTATGAGATAAAATCATATCTAATCACATCTCACAATATCTCAATAATATCTTATAATATTCACTAAGGTCCGGCTTGATATTGCTTTTTTGTGGTGCTTCTGCCTATTTTTTTTCAGAAGTAGTTAATAGTAGTGTTTGGCAAAAAAATTTATCCTTATTGAAATTGCTTTTGCTTTTAAAAGGGTGCTTTTAGAAGCAAACGCAAGATGCTTCAAAGAGTAGCTTCTGTTTTTTTAGTTTATATACCATATATTAGCTTTATCTTTTGACAAAGATTTTTAAGCATATTTTTGCCGAGCACCTTAACTGCTTTTGGAAGCCGCTTTTCATATATGATTATCAAACGACCATTTTCAACAGCTTATATAAGTTCCTTCTATAAGCTACTAATTTAAACAACTTATTATAAGCTCTAGTACTACCAAACTGGCCCTAAATCTGCTAATAACAATTTTCCGATAACATCTAATACTCCCTCTTATGCTGGAGCATATATACTATATGTACACAATTTGTTACAAATAAAAACAATAAAACACCTAGTTTCAAGAGCAATGGTAATGTCATCTTTGTCTGAAATACCTGAAGATGTCAGCAATCAGAAACATGTAGACATAACCAGTAGTAACCCTAGGCGGGTAAGTTAGTAGTAACCATAGGTGGGTAAGCCAAAAGAAATTCTAGGAGGGTAAACCAGTAGTAACCCTAGGTGGATAAACTAGTAGATCCCTTAGGTGAGTAGTCTAGTACAAATTCTAGGCGGATAAGCCAATAAAACCCAAGACGGGTTAGGGAGAAGAAACAAGGAAAAACCCTCGACTGATCCGTCATTTGCTCAGCTGCTTAATCTTGATTTCAGGGTCCTTTGACGAGAAAGTCGATAGCATCAAGGCATCTTGCTCAACATAAAATAGCAAATTTTAGAAGATCTAAGACAAAGCATGAATGTTGAAGCAATCGCAATAAGATACCGGAGGTATTGTTCACGGTGGGTAGTACCAATGAATAGTACCAGAGTTATTTTCCCCATAAATCTAGGGTTTTTGAGGTTAGATTTCTTTTGTTGCCAGATTCTTTTTTTATGAAGATTTAGGTATTGATTAAAGTTATCAAAACCGCCAAGGGGAAGCATGGAGGTGGCAAAACCCCTTCGGTAGCCTGAGGCTCTCTAAGATCAAGAAGGCTCTGATATCATGTAGAGAAATAGGAAAGTCAAAGAAATTATTCCATCTAATCCTATTCTCTCTTAAATAGAGATTAAAAGGATATTACAAAATAAGTATGAGATAAAATCATATCTAATCACTTCTCTTGATATCTCAATAATATCTCATAATATCTACTAAATCTACTAATAACAATATTCCAATGATGCCTAAAATGTTGCACTATTATGTAATATTGCATAGGCTTTAATCTCTATGAACCTACATGTTTTGTATTAGTTGGCTATCTATTCAGATATGCTGGATAGTTTAGCATTATTGGCATTTGTATCCATATTCTAAATGGATGGTGTCCAAGCCCATACTTGTAAAAAATAAACAAGATTCAGAATAGATTGCTTGTTTCTGTTTACATCCTTTATTAGAACCGAGATCTCGATAACTTATCATGGGCCTTCAAAATGAGAGTCTATACTCATCTTGGTCTGCAACAGTCAATATGCTGAAAATAAGAATATACTCATCCCTTATCAAAGTGGATTGTTTGTTTCTGCTTGCATCCCTCATCACTTGCATCCCTCATCAGAACTGAGATCTTGATGACTGATCATCGACCATCAGAAAATGAGAATCTATACTCATCTTTTGTAGGGTTTGGAGACATTTGATATTTTTTTTCCATTGCTACTAATTTTTCCTTTTGTTATTCTCCCTCTCCTTGGTCATTTGTACTGATTCATTCTAGTCAGTTTTCGATCAGAATGAACTGAGTAAACAAAATTTTCATGAATGCAAGTGCTTTGGTCATCCCTAAATTTAAGAGCATGTTTGGCAACTTATTTGTCCTTATAAGTAAATGTTTACTTATAAGGTGCCAACGTGGTGTTTAGGTAAGAACAAAATTTTAAAATAAACCCATTTAATTTTTTATTAAAAAAATCGATGCACTCCCATTTTATTTTTCAAAACCGACCCATTTCGTGGCCACGTCAGCAACGTGGCCACGAAATGGGTCGGTTTTTTTAATGACGCTTCTAAATAGTCGGGGTTGCTAACCCCGACTATTTAGCTATGTACAAGCTAAAATAGTCGGGGTTGTCAACCTTGACTAATTTAGGGCCCTGTCTAATAGGTTGGGGTTGACAACCTCGACCATTTCGAAAGCAGTATTTTGAATTTGAAAGCAGTATTTCGAAATGATCGGGGTTCCCAAACCCGATCATATGGCAGAGAGCTCAGCCCAGTCGCCGAATGGAGCTGAAAACGATCGAGGTTAAAAACCCCGACCATTTACCAGAGGAGAATTTTCCTACGACAAAATGATCGGGTTTGGGAACCCCGATCGTTTCGTGTACGTGCACAAAATGGTCGGGGTTCCCAACCCCGACCATTTGGCAGACTCTACTTACACCCACTTTCAGCTGGAAATTCAAACTCCTGCTGTTACATATCAATCCACAATGCAATCACAATCACAATAACACATACCAATCAATAATCTTAAATAAAAATCCATAATCAATCGGATGCATACCATGCAATTCACATACTAATAATCAATACTCAATCGAATACATAATATTTAGTTTCAAACGCAAACATCCTAGCAATACTCAATCAGATACATAATATTCAGTTTCAATCGGATACAACTCCCTTTCCTCTCCCTCTCCCTCTCCCTCTCCCCTCCCTCTCCCTCTCCCCTCCCCTCCCCTCCCTTCCCCCTGACACGTTCACCTTCGATGTGAGCTCGGATGAGTTCCTTGTCCGGTTGTGTGTGAAATTGGGAGTGCATGACATCCTCATCGACTCGAACCGACTGTGAACATCCGGCTTGGGCTTGCTGGGAGCCGTCATCTTCATCATGTGCACTGCTTGAGCCTGCCCCCTTGTGTCCTCGGAACTGTCGACGACCGTACTCAATTGGTCGCTCCTCACGTCCATCACATCTTGCATTGCGCGTCCTTTGAAGAGCGGACCGAATCTTTTTGATCATGCGAATAAACGTGTTCTTCGGCCTTGGCTCGGTAGTCGTTTGGATTACATCATGCGGCATAGTAGAAAGTTCTTCGAGCTCTTGTACCTATAAGATAAAAACCCCAAGAAAATTATTATGATTTGGATGATAATAAAATAAAACTCACAAGATAACTGTATATTTTATTTATACACTTACCAACTCTCTCTCAACTGGGCCTCTTGGTATGTACTCCTTAGGGGCTTTGTTCTCCTGAAATATCCACCGGCGAGGAATCCCCCAATATCACCGCAAATACACACCTA